TCATTCCTTCATGTAACTGTATTGGCCTGACGAAGATATGCCGAAAGCACATGTTTGTCAACTTGACTTTTTAAGTGTAACATGGACATGTTTGCGGAACTTAAGCAAATGTTAGTTGAAAATTACCTGAAACGCCCGATTTTGGGTGTCTGAAAGCGAGTGAACTTTGTTGTTGTTCTAGTACACGCTGTCTGAGTTTAGCAGGTTAACATTGAACAGCCTACGCATTGCCTGGTATTTAAGTGGTTAACAGTCGTTCCTCCATCATTTAATTTCCTGGATAAACCGGAGCTAATGGCACGTGTTTTTATTGTCATACTACTGTTGCTCATTACTGCCAAGGCCTGCAGATCTGATCGAGGTATTTATACTTCCCTTAATTTTTTTAAATTTCAGCATATACTGCATTAGATCGAGTACTTGCTAAATCAGCTACAGAATATATTAAATCTTTACAGTTGAATGAGCTAAAAAAGTGTCGCTTTTCATTAAAAGAAAACACGCCGTACGTACCAGATGTTTCCGAAGACATTAAGGGTGAATGTTTTGTAGAGGAAATACTGTGTTTGCTAAGATCGGTCGTCCAAATAGCAAACAGTGTGAACAAAGTTATTTTTAATCTGCATTCTTCTTACTTTAACAAGATTGTGTTTGTCAAAATTATTTCATATCTTTTGTTCTTAATATAATCCAACCAAAACTTGGTGTTCGTCAAGAGGACACAATATATATGCTGCCTATCGGTCAAGAATGCTCAGGCTGACCATGAAGAATAACCTATTTATCCAGTCAGGGAAACGCTTAACTCAAATTGGCAGAAAATTTTTGCGAAAATAGAATTACAAAACAAGACACAAGGCATATAATTTATATTATTGACCTGTTGATCACAGGCCAGATAACATCCTTAGTTTTCAAACAGTACAACATAGAGGACTCACGTATGCTAAAACATCAAAAGATTTTCCAAGGTGACTTATGTGTATTGGGTGTGGGGCAAGTGCATTCCTGACAACTGTCAATTTTAACATTATCACAAAGGTAAACAATATGCACATACATTTTCTATAATCTGCATCTTTTCGTTTATCTCAAAAGCGTCCTCAAAGAATATTTTGCCACCAGATATATGCCCCAAACTGAACTCCCACGCCTCACTTCCGTTGTTTTTGGAGCAGCACCTGTTCACCCAAACGTACATGCTGCATTATTTCGTGATGAATGATGATACGATTACAAGTTTTAATTTTTCCGTAAGAGGTAACAGCACAACAGACAGATGTCTTCTCCGAGACGTAATCCATGAGCAAAGACACATGGTATTTTACTGCTTTATTAATTTGCCGGTAACTTACTTCTGGATTACTCATTTGGTAAGGCAGTCTGTTATCATGAGTATGTTTGTATAGGTTTAAACGCCTGCAGCCAATAATTGTATTTTGAACTTGTTAGCATTTAACTGATAATGATATTTTAAATAGACTATTCGAAAGTACGGTAGACAAATGAAAACACCAAAAGTCATGGAAACACTGGAGGCAGCTTTCAAAAATTTGACGACAGTGGCCGTAGTTAACTACTTCTACAATGAGGAATATTCCAGTTATTTGTATATTTCTGAATTAACTTTTCCTGACCTCGATCGAAATCGTCTGCTTTCGGACCAAGTCGGCGGTAGCGTGACTTCTGTGTGGAAAGACGTAACCCTTCGAAACGCCAATATTCTGGCCCGGGAAACCTTTCTAAAATCATCTCCAAGAGTCTGCCGTGACTAGTTGATGTATATGAAAATGCGTCTGCTCTATTTGTCTCTAGGAAAAGTACATTCAGACAGTTACTCACCCACAGATATCCAAATGCACACTTTATTAATGCACCCCTTACAGGATTGTTTTTGGTTACTCATTTGGTCGTTTCTCATGAGGGTATATTGGTGCTTTGTATTCGATGAAATAATAAATACTGATAGCACAATTCTGAGAAATGATGCAATCATAATTTCCGATTACATTCACTTGCACTTTGGCTTCGATCGGTGCGTTTATGACCAAATGCTAGAAAAAACACCAACAGTTCTATGTTTCCCCTCAGCGGCAACTGAGCGAACTGGCTTTGTTCAGAACGTCTGTGTCTATTTCGTTTAGCAAAGCAAGTCTTGGAACGTCTGGCAGACAGCCCGAAAATAATGCCTGCAATTATAGGCTCTCCGTGAATTTCGAAAATATTTAACTGAAACATTGACGAATCCTGTTTTAGTTTGGATTTATAGATTACATTATAGAAACAAGTATTTGTAGAAAAACAAATCTGTTTTAACTCAAACGGTGAACATTTAGAACAAACTTTCAAATGCACTTGAGTAAAACTTAACAAAGTATATTCGAATATGTACGCAATTTTGCTTCACCAAATGATGTAAGCTGTCTAATTGGCATACTATCTAAAATGTTATTAGGACATTTCGGATCGTCGGCGAATTGTTAAATATAGGAAAATTGCCTCAGTAATATTTATTTGATTCAGCTACCTTGAAACGCATCATGAAGAGTATTTACCGTCTTACTAGTGTCTCTAATAGGTGAGGGGGTTTAAAAATGTGACAGATTACTCTATCGACAGTTAGCAGCATGGGGTTTATTTTACTTAGTTCGGCTACACTTGATCTATGCAGTTAGTGACTTGCAGATACTTGGCCGACTTCCAGAGCATATCAGCTAAAAATATTAATATGATGTACACTAGCACAATTGCAGTAACGGACAAAGGAGCAGATAGCGTAAACGTTCTCTCTCTTGGCATCTGAACAGACTGCCAATTTTAAACTTCGGTCTTCAGAAGACTAGAGGAGGTCGTATAAAGACGTTTTGAATTATTGACGAAATTTAAGGATAATTTAGATATTGCAGTATTATTTTTTATGAATACTGCCTGTCTTTTTAAGCTAGAAATTTTAAGAAATGGACAAGTTCGAGTACCAGCCCTTACATAGCAAGACTGAGGATGAATAATTGACATGATTATTCGGTAGTAAATACAAAACCATAAATAATGCTTGGCAATCTGTAAATTTCAACCTGTCGTCTGGTTAGAGCTTTCTAAATAACAAATTTAACAAATGGTTCAAATTTGTTTAAGCAACTAATCCCAAAGCACGCTGATATTTACTGTCATTCAGTAAAATAACTTGTAATAAGAAGTTCTGCTGTAAAATAGGTCTCGAAGTGTCCTCTTTGGTAAGCCCCGTTACACTGCACAGTTTGAGTGTAGGATTCATGCCACTAGTCAGAGCGCGATTAGATGATAGTCAAAGAGAAAACGTTCAAAATGTCATGGGTAATGATGTTACATTGTTCATTATGTTTCACGCATAACATCCCTATCGATATTGCGCAAGTTTATTGATTACAGAAAATGCTGTATCTCTACGCTTTACTGTGAGCCAAATGCTCGTGCATAAAACTACTACATATAATGAGGCCCGACATCGATCTTAATTTTTGTACTTCGCATGCCTTTGCTAAATAACTCCCCTCCATGAACTAAGATTTCAAAAGTTTAAAATGTTTACAATGAATTTTGTAGGCTTTTCATAGTTTTCAGAAGTTTGACATAGTGAGTAGCATACAGTTCGTGACCTGTCTCATGAAACATGACAACAAAAGCCGAGGTGAGAATGTTTAAAAGTCTAAAATGCTGCGCATTCAGCTTGTAGGAACACCATCTGCAGTAGTTGTTCTTTGCTGCAGGGGCAGCAGAAATGCAAAATATAATAAACAAAAACCATAATATTACTATAATATTTTGTCTACAATTTGTCTCCCGTCAGAATAATCAATTCGTCTTTTAGAATCTACTAGCATGGTAACATAAAGCTGTCGACGCGTTCGAAGTCCCGGTTTTTGACAACTAGTTTAGCACTGTCTGACAAAACTACATTTATAATTCTGAAGGCCAAGATGTGATCGCTGGAAGAAGTAATTTATTGGCCTGACGTTTCGGATTCTCACTCGAATCCATCATCAGAAACATTCGCAGATAAACGTGATGGTGGCAAAAGACGTGCTGTATTTATAGCACGTGGCTGTCGTGAAGCCGTATGCTTACTGTAATTAACAGCCATCGCAATCACCGCTGGGCTCGTAATTGATGCGGTAGTGGCTTGTCGGTCCGAGTCGGAGTCGTTAATTGCCGTAATTTCGTCATCCATTCTGGATGCTTGTGTGACGATGACTCGGCAATTTGGCCCACTGTCACTAGGATAATTGTTCGCCCGCGCCCTCTTCACGTGACTGATTCTCCTGCCCAGGGAAAATCTCAGGACGGAATATGGTACCAGGAGGTCATTTTGCTAGTTAATGTATTGCGGGTCTGAGAACCATGACTCGGGCACCTCGCGGCTCACGCGGTTGTCACCCATTGCGAGGATTCCGGCCTCTTGACATTTGAGTGTGCCGCCACATGAGAGCTAGCGTCTCGCCGCCTCACTGCTGCAGCCTGCTCGGCAATTCGCGTACGGAGTAATCTCCTAGTTTCTTCGTCATAGTTGCTTTATTCGCAACTACACCAGACCCGGGAAACGATCCAGACGTTTCCTGCTGTGGCAGCGGGTCTTTTGGCCTCATGAATTGACGCCTTAGTGTTGCTTGTGGTCTGTGTGCAACTCCAAATCCAAGTGAAGTGAGAAGACGACTGACGGCTTCCGGGACGTTCTTCACGTACGGAAGAGCCCGCCAAAATTTGGAGCCAGTTGAATTTGGTCTCTGGTGTCCTTTTCGTATGCACTGGTTGACAAAGTTGCGCGGGTAACCGTTGGCTCCCATTACCCATCGGAGATATTGCAATTCAGTAACCTTGTCTTTCATTTCACTGCAGTGCGCTTCATCGCGCCTGCAAAGCGCCCTTATGCAAGTGCGTTTGTGACTGATGGGGTGGTTGCTATTGAAGTTCAGTATTTGCGTCGTATTTGTCTCTTTTCTGAACACTTTGGTTTTCAGACCACCTCAATCTTTGCGGCAGACGAGGACATCCAGGAAGGCCAGCTGATTGTTTTCCTCCTCCTTTTCCATCGTAAATTGAATGTCCGGGAAGACGGCGTTGAGTTGTTCTTTGAAAGTCAGCACCTGATCCCGTTCGATGACGACGAAGGTGTCATCCACATACCGAGCCCAGAATTTCGGTCTGTGGTGTCGGGAAACCAGCGACTTCAGCCGCTGTAGGACCACATCGGCTCTGAATCCCGAACTCGGCGAACCCATTGGCGTTCCCTTCACCTGCTTGTAGATTGTTTCGTCAAACGTAAAGTACGTCTTGAGACAGAACTTCAGGAGCTGGATGATTTGGGCTTGTCCAAAGCGATTCTCCGTTTTGTCACATTTCTCTCGTAGGAGTAGTTCGATGGTCTCGACTGACAGGTGCTGCGGGCTAGAAGTAAAAATGGACGTGACATCAAAGGAAACCATTACATCTCTTAGGTTTCTCCAAGAATTGCGTTGACGAGCGGACTGTGCTGTTCGAATCTCAGGTCAGAAACTTAAGAAGTTGGGACAGTCACTTGCCAGTCTGTATGTTGGAGCGCCCTTTAGTGATACGATAGACCGGAGAGGAGCGTCCTCTTTGTGTACTTTTTATGATTTTGCTAGAAAATGCTTACCGGGTTGGCGAATTCGGCTGCAGGGTTTGAATAACCTACTATCAAGTTCTATCACTTATTTTATTGAAACCTATAGTCTGACAACATTTTCAATCGACAAAACTAGAGAGGCTTACTTTTTTCCAAAGGAAAAGACACCCATCTTTATAGTAGAAAAAACGTTTATGTATATTTATTTGTGGCGTACGCAGTGACTAGTGGGGTTACAACTGCAATCATTCATCGAGGGATGGAGATGGGATCAAAATGCTCGTCAAGAAAGCGAATTTACTGTTTGAAACAGCGGCGCTTAATTTATTACAGCGAAGTTATAGCTAAATACAACATCTGCATGCATCACCTTATTTAACTGGAAAAAGCGATCGGGAGTCAATGCCGCCTCGATTATCCTGTCATCGAAATGCTTTATAATATAGAACTCTGTAGTGTGGCTCTGTTTTAACTTCATTTTCAGACTAAACAACATAAGGGAATTTTTTCAAATTGCCGCCTTTCATGCACATGTTAACAGTGAAAAAATGTGTGTCAAACTACTCTGAATATCTGTCCAAAATATGTGACCACATGGTCTCTGATAAATAAAAGCGGTCTGTAGACAGAAATTGACATATGCCGACAAGGGCTATGCAGGTTTACTTTGCGGCCGTTCAAGAGGTCATCTCAATCATATGAAGTCGTTTCACACGCACAAATAACAAGAGATGGAAATAGTTTAATATGGCACCTTGGCTTAGCTGAGGACTTAGTAATTGCGGAGGTCGGCATCTTCCTAATTGCTATCGCCCAAGAACAGTGATCGCGATTCAAATGAGGTTTTTGGGATGTTTCCTCAAAGGTTTGTTTTCAGCCTTCTTGCTGACCAGCTTCTGGAAAACAAAACGCTGACTGTTCCATCATATTTCTGATCAGTGTCCGGACGGCATTATGCAGACGCGAAATAGTTTTAACGGTTAATATGGAGTAGCTTAAAATCAGTGCTCACGATATCTTATAGCACGTCAACGGTTTTAGCTGATTACATTGACGCTGACGCTGCTGAACAGTTTAAAGTATATAGAACTTCAATGGTTGAAATAAAGTACATCTACCTTTTTTTAGCCGCCAGACATGCTGATGATTCCCCCATTTAAACTTAAACGAAAACGCGTTAATAACGGTTAACAAAACTCGGCAAAAGCCGTGTAAGATGCCTACAGTTTAAAGGACCGCAGTTAACAAGAAAACGCGACCGTGAATGACAACAGG